CCATTCTTCAAGGATTGTGGGGTCCTCTTCCCATGAGAAGATAGGCGGCCGGTGGTTCGAAACTTGGCGAGCTACATATGAGTTTCTGTTTGGTGGTGGTGGTCGATTATTGTTATGGAGGACAGCGTCGCTTAGTGTCTAGGCGACCTGAGTCAGTTGCTGTAGATTCTGAACTAGTGATTCGTGAGCGGAGGGTTCAGTGGTCCTTGGCTGACTTCTTGTTGGCGCCATTCTGGTGGTTTACAGGGCCAATGTCGATTGTAATGGTAAGTTAGGGGTTCGCATCCTTACCTCGATGCTATAAGTATTGGGAATCTTTAAACTAAGCACATAATAGAGTGAGGAGAAGTTAGGCAGACAATGACAGATAAACTCACAGCCTCACCGCGCGTCCTAAGACTCCTAAGTCCTAAGTATTTAAACACCTAGAGTTACGACTAAGCATCTTAAGGTCTCAAACTTAGACCACTATCCTAGGTATAGCTTTAGATTCTTAGAGTCTAACACTTAACATCCCTAGTATGAAGTTACCTAGAGTTCGAGCTTAATGTCCCAAAGTCTTATCCTAAGGGCATTGTCTTAGGGTCGAACTTAGGCTCTGATACCAACTGTAACACCCCTAAATTTCAAGGTATTTAAAACTTATAAAATAAAGGCGAATTCATTGATTAAGTCCCAAATAGAGCATGAAGCTATCCATAAGAGTCAGGGTGTTATGCCACACCTAGGTTTGAGAACCTAGGTGCACAGGCTAAACTAACTAAGCAAAAGGAATCCTCAAATCAATATTCAATACAATCACAAGGCACGCAGGCCACTACTGAGCTAAAACTAACTAAGCTAAGTCCAAGGCTCTGACTAGCACGCTCCGAAGCTAAAGCTCATCACCTGAAAAACATTCGGTATTACAACCGTCAGCGAATAATGCTGGTAACCCACTCCAACGCGTTAAGTACAATATAGGTAGATATAAGAAACTCATTTTGAAACTGGAATATATATATACTTATGAGACTCTAGCTTAAATCCAAGATCAAGACTCAAGGCATATAACAGACTCAATATCATAGAATAATCATAAGAACTAATAGACATCCTAGCCATGCAATGCAAGACATAACAAGTAGATAAACATGCAAATAACTAAGGCATTCAATACAATCAATTAGCAAGTAGTCAACAAAGCACATAATTCCTTATATCCTCACCCCTTATGCCTCCGGGCAACTACATGCCCCCACCGACGAACCCACCTTTCAACCACCAACATATCAAGATGGTGTCATAGTGCCATTCAATGATCCGCACCTCTAGTGCCAATAACAAGGGGTTAGCGCATATAGCTCTAACATGACACCGCAACACTTATAACATGACCCAATACTCAACGGCAAGCTAGTCAAAGGTGGGTGTGTGCCTTTAGCACAGTCACCGCTATGGTCTGTACCTTTAGTACAATGACCGGGCACAAGTGGTGCCAACCGCTAACAGTTTATTTTCCACCAATCACAATCTCATCAATATCATTATCATCATCATCATCAGTTACATTGGCCATTGCGCAATGACCACGATACTCATCATCATCAATCAATCAACACATAATCACATAACAAGCAAGACACAACAACAACGACACGTATCACACATAGAATCCTAGAATGATGCCTAAAACACCAAACGAGGCTCATACACGACAAATGGTGTATAACAGGACACAACGGGACACGAGGAAATATCAAACGAGGAAAAACACCACGAACCACGCCGGGATTCCAGCGAGTAGGTGGCGGGTTACTATTCCAGCGGGTGGCCGGCGGGCAGACCACCGCTCGCCGGCTGCCCGCTGGAACAGTAAATGCAGGCAGCGGGTAGGTGGCGGATGGTCAGTCCCCCACCTACCCCCCCCCCCCCACTGATACACATGCAACTTTATGGTCTCGGGATCCCCTGTGGAACCCGAAACCAAGTCCAAACACATATATAACGACAATACCACGTATTCAATTAACGGAATTCCACGATATAACCCTAGGGCTCTAGACACAGTCAAAATATGAGATCATTCGTATAATTAATCATAGTATCAAGAACATCAATATTATCACATAAACATCAAGATTATCATATAAGCACAATATAAATCTTAGGCAAAGCTCTATCAAGACTCAAGCACAGGATCATATATCAAAGGAGCCAATGAATAAGATATAGCAAGGAAAATAGATTTTGTCGAGACATGGGTTACCTCTTAGCCTTAATCAATATCCTTGGCTACTAAGGTTCTTTCTCTAAGATCTTCTTCCTGTGAGTTCTCCTACGTTTGATGGCAGGGTGATTCCTTTGTAGGTTTCTTTCTAGGAATATCTCGTGTGGTAGAATTAACTATGGTAGGGTTTCTAAATGCTTCCTAAGTCTCTATGTATATATTTAGGAGTCCTAACTAGGGTCTGAATAGTAAGGATCCACTTATCTTATTCATTATAGGATTAAGGATTTGGTTTTAAGAATAAGGGTCCATGATCCATGGTGGGCTACATCGATTAATTAAAGGGAATCCTAACCCAATTAAATCCTTTCTAATTACTATTAACGGAATCGATTAAATAATTACTCCTTGGTTAGAGGCCGTATCACGGGGTGTTACATCCCCCCCCCCCCCCCCCTTTACATGATGCTCCCGGGGGGATATTTATTCTAGGGTACAAGATTCTTGCAAGGAAAGTAGGACTGACGTAGAGCAAATTCTATAAGGGAAGTAGGGCTGACGCAGAGCCAATTCAATTAAGGAATCCAACCTATTAACTACCACAACTATCTAAGCCAATAAAGGAAGCTGCTTAAATAAATGAAGAGATCTCCGTAAAATCTGCTTATAACCGCCTCTGGGCAAGCACCCAGTTGGGGACACCCTGATTGCCAAGGAGATGCGTAAAGGGGCCGTAGTACTCGGCCGAGGACACCCCAACCGCGGAGCCTGGTCACCCGATTGAGTTCCTAAGTGGTACCTTGCCGAGGACACACCACCCGCAGAACCTGGTCGCCCGTCTGAAACCTGGAAAGGTATTTGGTAAGGGACACGCCGACTACCAAGGCTGGTCGCCCAACCGTGTCTCATATATGAACCCAATCGAGGACACGCCGGCTACTGAGCCTAATCAATCTACTCAAGCCGGTCGATCCTCGTCGGAGTAAATGCCCATTCTTGTGGACGGTTGGCTGCTGAGGATGGCTCATGTAATCTCCAGGCGACTCATATGGTGGACGGGAACTATGGATGGCATCCCCATTTGCTAAGTATCGATCCCCGCCTGAATCTGACTGCCTTGCCTTATACACTTGACCGGCTGCCTGATTTGGGTTATCTATCAGTACTAATTGCCTCGTTAAAAACCTGAACTTAAGAAAATCTCGTGGGGAAAACTTAGTTAAGGGAAAACGAGTACAGCCATAAGCCTTCAAGGCATAATCTTCAGGATTTTGGGGTTTGTCTATTTAAGTGCTTGCCTTCGAGGCATAATCTTCAGGATTTTGGGGTTTGACTATTTAAGTATTCGCCTTCAAGGCATAATCTACAAGATTTTTGGGTTTGAATAGTTAAGTATTTGTAGACAACTTACCCCATTAATATATCATACTCGTACCTCGTTAAAAACCACACTAGCAAAACTCATTGGGAGAAACCTAGCAAGGAAAAGAATACATGGTATGTATATGCTGCAAAAAGTATAATTATTACTCCTTTTAAAACCCAATCTACAGGATTGACCAATCTACAAGATTGAATCGAGTGAATGTATACGCGGCAAAAAGTAATCTATCAGTCCTTTTAAGACACAATCTACAGGATTGTCCAATATACAGAATTGTCCAATCTATAGGATTGACTTGAGTGAATGTACTTCTCGTCTCCCCCTGAAGATAACAATCTTCAAATTTTACATTGTTTAAAGTAAAATCATTGTTTCAAAAGCTTGTAGAAAAGGGATATGGTACAATCTTCAGGATTGCCATTAGAATTTATCATATTTTTTCATGATCATCTGGACCAATAAAATTATTTATAGTTTATATTTTGTTGCTCCCGCTAAATATAATAATTTTCTTTACCTACGCATATCAATCTTATGGATATTTTGTAGGTATACATTTGCTAACTTGTCACTGGAGCAAATCTTCTGGACAAATATTTTATCACTCTTTTAGAGTTCATGTGGATCAGAGTATTTTATATAATGAAAAACTATATATGTTTTTATTTGTCCCATGTATGATGACTTGTACTGCTGATAACGTGTTGTGTCAGATTATGCCCGATGGCCTTTAGCTCCTAACCGATGAACTTATGCAAAATAGATAATATTGGATGATAGAGCGAAAGAAGACAATAGAATATAGGATAATCAGATTTCATTCATCAGCATTCCTTGATCAATACACTATCATCATAACGGAAAGCAATAATGACATATATAAATACTACCGTTACATTCGTTATACAAACTATACATAATGTCCACAAATAATATTTATAACAGTGTGCTTATTATTGGAAGTAGAAACAAAGACTATATAACTATAAATCAACTGTTAAAATATCATTGATCATAAATTTATTAAACACATGTTCTCAAAATTGTCTTTTGACATCTCCAATATGGGAATAAAGATGTAAGAAGGGTTGGCTGAAGGAGATTTAATCACCGGATATTAAATTTCCTAGGCGAGTGGTACGTGCAGGCACTCACTAGTGTGTGCTAGCAGGTGCCACTTTGGTGAACCATTATTAGTGTTTTTTTTAAGGAATATATATTGTTTATCCTCAACTGTCAATATGACTGTTGAATAACGTCATATTGACAGTTGAGAACGGTCAATATGCAAATGACGCAATTTTTCCCCGAAGAGAGGAACTTGTTTTTCAAGAAAAAAAAAAAGAAAATGATGTGTGACACGTGATTCCATGCACTACGCAACACTCGCAAATGGTGGGGGACAGTCTATCTCCCACCATTAATGTTCCATTTAATTATTAAAAAAAATAGAAATTAAAATTAGCCTCAACGGTTATTTTGTCGTTGAGGCTGAAATGAAATTTATTTCATTTCTTTCACTCAACGGCTATTTTTGCCGTTGAGATTTTTTTTTTTTTTTCTAAGAGTTAATTACCGATTTAGTGCCTCAACTATGAGAATTTCACCAATTTGATCCTCGACTACCAAAATTTCTCAATTTAGTCCCGATAATGTTTTTTTTTAATACCAGAAATGGTCTTAGAGTCAAACTATCGTTTTAAATGCAATAAAACTGAGGACAGATTTGTAATTTCACTCCCCAAACCGCCATCTCCTAGGACGTCTTAGAGCAACACCTCTCCGCCCAGAACTTCCGGCAGGCCGACGAGGAGACCCGTCGCCTCCTCATTTCTCTGGTCGGCGACGCCGCCCAAAAGCCCGGCTACGTCTTCTTCTCAAAGGTCCAGTTCATCCCCACCTACGACCTCTGGTACATCGACTCCCTGTGGCAGAAACACAATAACGAGAAATTAGGCTACAGCGTCCAAAAATAAATATGGAATAAAGTGGGAGAAGACTTCACAAAGCTCTTCCTCAATCTGGGGTGGATGAAGAAGCTCGACATGCAGGTGGAGCAGTACAATTACCGGTCCTTCCTCGACGTGTTCACGTGGGAGATTTCCGACGGGGTACCGTTGGACGGTCACCTACCGTTGACGAACGCTCTGAGAGGAACCCAGTTTTTCAATAGTATTCTCACCCGGCCCATTCAACTCTCCCGTACCCCATCTTCGCCGCCACGGCTAACAACAACATCCACCCGAATCCCTTCCTCTGGTAAGCCTCCCGGATGAATATATCCTTGATGTAGAACCCGGGTTTTGCCAGAAACGAGGAGTAGTTAGGGGAAAATAGGGTGTACCCGGCAACGGTGGTGCCGGTTAGGGCTTGGTACTGGAAGGTTTCGGCACCCGGGTCGTCGGTTTTGAGGTCGAGAGTAACGATTTTGTTGATAGGAGTGAAATGAGGGTTTTCAGGGGCGAGCAGGAAGGGATTGGGGGAGACTTCTAGGACGAAGACGGTGAAAGAGGCGAATGACGGGATGGGATTAGCGGCAGGGAAGAGGGTGGTGGAGAGAGTGACTTCGGTGGCGAAGAAGAGGTGGGTGAGACGCTCGAAAACGGCCATCTGATGGATAAGGTAGTGTATGTGGGGGATGCCGGCGGGTGTGGCGAGATGGATGCAGGTGAAAACTCGGCGGCCGGTCGGAACTATCTCCTCAATTTAAATTATTCGGTAGAGCCTAAATTACAAATCTGTCCTCAATTTTAACGCTTTAAATGATAGTTTGACTTTAGGACCATTTCAGGTTATAAATGCATAGTTAGGGACTAAATTGAGGAATTTTTGTAGTTGATGACCAAATTGGTGAAATTGTAATAGTTGAGGGACTAAATCGGTAATTAACTCTTTTTTTAAAATATAAATTGCTTGAATTAAATTTAAAACTTAAATTTTATAAAATTTAAATATATTTTATTTTTAATTTATTAAATTATATTTATATTTAAAATTAGAAATTATAATTATAAAGTTGAAATTAATAATTATAGAAAATGAATAAAATAATAAAAGATGTATTAAGAGTGTGAAGGAGTAGGGGCACAAAATGGGTAGAAAAGGCAAATTATGATGTGGATCCGGGTCCATCTTGGCGTCATTTTGCTTCAAAACGACGCCGGCTAAATTTTATTTTTTTTTTTTAAATATTGCTTCCTTCTTTGCCGTTTGTCTTCAGAATTTGTTCCTCTACATTCCCAGTTTTTGAATTCTATAGTCACAATTTGAGAAAATTTCAATTTTAGTCATATGACTATAGGGGTCTTGTTAATTTCAGTCCTTGACTTTTAAAAGTGTCAATTTAGTACCTTAACTATGCAATTTTTGTCAATTTTGGTCACTCTAGCCAAATTGCCAGTCAAATTTCGTCGGAATATTTAAATTGTTAAAATAATGAGGGTATTTTGATAATTTCACGTCTCTTTTCTTCTTCCCAAGCGAGTTCATCCATTCCTCTCCCGTTTCCGGTGAATGCAATAAACTAAGATGATGGGGAAAGGATGCTTGATGATATTAAAGATAGGGTTTAGAGGGGGAAAGAATGCCAAAAACGGGAGAGAAAGAAATGGACTCGTCGAAAAAGAAGAAAATAGGCGTAAAACGATCAAAATACCCTCATTATTTTAACTATTAAAATTTTCCAGCGAAATTTGGCCGGCAATTTGACCGGAGTGACTAAAATTGACAAAAATTGCATAGTTAAGGTACTAAATTGACACTTTTAAAAGTCAGGGACTGAAATTAACAAGACCCCTATAGTCATATGACCAAAATTGAAATTTCCTTTTTACAATTTAATAACTGAATATTCACAATTTTAAATTTCAATATACAAAATTACAGAACTCAATATTCACAAATGTAGAACTCTATATTCACAATTATATCAACAGTATAACACAATTTTTGAATTTATATGTATAATTTTTGAACACTATATGCACAAATATATATATATATATATATATATATATATATATATATATATATATATATATATATATATATATATATATATATATATATATATATATATATATATATATATATATCATTGGCTGAGAAAACGGTGCCACTAACGGCACCGTTATTTCAGATGTGCAAAGCTGTGTCGTTTTGGACCTGGGTCCACCGAGTCCATGACATAACAATTGGGTAAAAAATGGGAGAAGGATGGGAGAGAAAATAGGATATGAAATTATTGAGTGATGTGAAAGAGTTGGACACACAAAATGGGGAGATAAAGAGAGAACCATTATAGAGGCCCTTATGGATTTAGACCTGGAATTTATATCATTGAACATAGTCAACATAGCATTATGGATTCTAAATTGAAACGACGATGTGCATAATTCATACTCGTATGGTACAAATTTTCATAACACAAAACAACGCAAAACATATAGACCCTTGATTTATACGACGAGGTACATAATTCATTCTCGTAAGGTATAGAATTTCATAACACAAAATGTTGCATATACATGTTATATATTTACTTATTTTTCAAATTTAATTTATATACATAATTTGTGTTCATAGACACTGAATTTCATAACACAAGATAGATAAATTCGTAACATAAGACACAGTTACTAATTTGTTTCAGATACACAGAATTTCTACTCTTAAGGTACAGAATTTCATAATGCAAGACACAAAAAGTCAGTAAAACAAAAAGTCAATAACACAAAACACATACACATGAACCAAGGTCCACAATGAAGTGTGGGCCTTGGTCCATATATAAGGATTGTTAGGCAGCAACTTTTTTGCGGACCAAAGCTAAGTCCACATAGCTGTATAGACCATAAATATAAGTTACTGCGTACATCCGTACATTTTTAATATACTAAAAGTACATTATTTGTATATTGAATTTACATTATTTGATATATAGTATATAAAATAATTACTTTCAGTACTCAAATAATGTATTTTCAGTACTTAAATAATGTCTTTTCCATAAATACAAGTTACATTATATTTTTAATATACTAAAAATGCATTATTTGTGTACTGAATGTACAATATTTGATATTGTACAAAATAATGTACTTTCAGTACTCAAATGATATACTTTAAAATAATGTACTTTTTATTTGGGAAATAGCAATTAAGCCATCGAACTCAAATAACCCCCAAATAAGCCATTGAACTCGGAAAAAAAAAAAAACAATTAACATTTTTAACAGGTTAACTTTAGGTTTTTGTTGACTGGATTGCCAAATGTTTATTTTGTTTACATTTCTTTTATTATAATCCTCTTACATAGTAACATATTTCAAAATAATTATAATCAAAATAGTTTTATCTTGTCGAGATTTGATTGATTTATTTATTTATTATTATTTTTTCACTGAATTTTCTATTGAAAAATAATAATAAATAAATAAATTAGATGTAGACAAGACAAAACTATTTTGATTGTAATTACTTTAAAATATATTACTATGTAGGTGGATTATAATTAAAAAAAATGTAAATAAAATAAATATTTGGCAATTCAGTCAGTAAAAATCTAGAGTTAACATGTTAAAAATGTTAATTGCTCTTTTTCCTCGAGCTCAATGGCTTATTTGAGTATTATTTGAGTTCGATGACTTAATTGCTATTTCTCAAATAGTTCAGTGACTTATTTGTACTTTATCCCTAAAAAATAATGTATTGGGAGAAACCAAAATAAAAAATATTTGAACGCCAAAAATCCGAAAACAAAGAAAGAATTCACGGTGGATCGAAGACCCCTTGTATCCCATGTCTTCTTCGTTCTTCATCGCTAGAATCCAAAAGGAAAGGGTAAAAACAAAAACCTTTTATTGAATTTCAAATAACGATTAATTAAATTTAGGAAAAAGTGCAATTTTCGTCCCTAAGTTATAATGTAATTGTAAAATTCATCTCTAAGTGTTGATTATACTCACTTTTTGTCTCTAAGTTATCATTAATGTTGCACTTTTCGTTACTTTACTTATAAAATATTAAGAACGAAATTTATAATTTTAGTATAACTTAGGGACGAAAAGTAAGAACGAAAGAATAAAAAGTGCAACGTTAATAATAACTTAGGGACGAAAAGTAAATATGACCAACACTTAGGGGCGAATTCTACAATTACTGTATAACTTAGAAAAAATTTCCCTTAAATTTAACTCTAATTAAAATTCATTATTTTAAACTAAACTTTTTAAGTGAACAAATTACCTAGACCTTTTAAATTAACTGTACATCTGAATCTCAATGGGGCAATAATATAGTAATTTTGGCGCAATTCTAGCTTAATTGGTTAGATAATTAGTTAGTAACCACAATGTTTCAAGTTCGACTTCTTGTATGCGAGAGATACTTATTACTTTCTTGGTCTGAGTCAGTTATCTGTGGGTCACTTAACCGATTTACCTCTTTGTATTTCCTTGCCAACTAAAGTTATGATGCAAGTTTCATCCAAAATGCATATTCAGATATCGGTGGGAGACTTTCATGTAAATCAAAGGATATTGTAATTTTATACTACTACATTATATAAACATGAGTGTATACATATTAATTTACCTAATAGTGAATCATTTTCTTTCCATTAATTCAAATATATAGTTACTTAGCTTAAATTTTAAAAACTCCCAACCTTCCATTAATTCAAATATATAGTTACTTAGCTTAAATTTTAAAAAATCCCAACCCAAAGGTCTGACAGAGGGGAGGATATATGCTTAGCAGACAGGGTCAAATGCAGGTGCGCACAATGAATTTATCCACTTTGAGCATAATCCCTACGTTGTGGCTACTGAGGTTCGAACCTAAGTACTGTCTAGTGAATCGGTGAGCAAAGTCCGTGCAGGTTGGTTTTTTTTTTTTTTTTCCAAGGGTAATTAATATTAACATTGGTGCAGAACTACAGATAGAATGATTAATATAATGAATACAAATGAAAAAAAAAAAAAAAAAAAAAAAAGATAATAATAATGTCCGTTTGTCATATGAACGCAGCGGAAATCCAGGAAGCAAATTAAAGGGCGGAAGTATTATAGCATAAATACAGTGCAAAAGAGAAGAAAAGGATGCAATTGACGTTGGATTAACAGAAAGCTTTAATTTAGTCGGCATATTAAAAAAAAAAAAAAAAAAAAAAGTTCCCACATCCTATGGATCGAAGGCCATCTGTATTCATTTCCTTATCATCTCCAAATCCCTCCCCCTTTTTCACAACTTTAATTTTGTTCGAGTGGCAACAAATACTTGTATCTGTTTCACACTCCAAATGGCTTCCCAAATTTGATTCTTAACAAACTTCTAACTCCTTCATTTATTTGTTTCATCCACTGTAATAATGCTAGTCCTTCGTTGAAAACTTTATCTATTTGATAAGTAAAGTTCTGACGACGAATACGTGATCGTTTCTTACTATTAATTAAGCGGTTTGGCATATGAGAACTTGGTATTTTTTGTTTTTTATTTTGAATTGAAACGTGAGAGAACACGGTGTTCTTGTATCATAAAATGATTTGATACAGTAGTATTATCCTATATCATGAACTATCGAATATTATATGTGTATCATCGAATTTAACGATGTTAGTCTATAATGCAGATTTTATCGAGTTGATGCATGATTAAGATTTTGACATATTTTACAATTTATCTTATATATGTTGGTT